GATAACGAAAAAAGGAAAAAAGCGCTTATAAAATGCTTCGACCATCTTTGACGATGGAGAACGAGAAAGCGGATCTCGGCGCATATTTTCGTTTATTCATTTTCTCCGATCTATAATTCGATTCGCTCGATTTTTAATCGAGATCAATAAAATTAATAGAATAATAAAATAAGAAGTAAAAAACTAATCGACTAATCCAATCCTCTTTGCATTCGCTTTTACGGATTAAGATTAACAAGATAAAGTATTCGAAAAGTTTCTGCCATCGGCTTGACAAATTGCTTAATGTAATTTTAGTGGAATGATTGCGACATTGAGTGTCAAGAGATTATAAGTTCTCCAAAAATTATTTAGCTCTAGCACTTTTTGTAGGTTTTATAAAAATATATATTTTCTAATAGTTATATATAATTCATAAATTATTGCTAATAAAATAAATACAGTAAATAAATTTACTTTTAGTAGTAATCTTTAAAAACCCATCCAACAAATTACTTTATGTACTTATAATAAACGTAATAATTAATAAAATTAATATTTATAATTCGAGTATAAAATTAGTTATCTACTAATTAATATTTAACGCTTTAATTTATGATTAATATTTTATTAATTAATTAACACGTCGTCGCGTCGTATAACAAGAAGGAAGTTAACACTAGCGGCTATTTGATTCGTTTATAAGTAAATAAATAAATAAATAAATAGTTTAGCATTCACGGAACATTCTGTGTGGCAAAACCATAAATCTACAGCCGTTTTATTTACAAGTCTTTGCGTAATTATCGAGTACATGGCGCCCGATGGAACGAAATAAAAAAAAAAACCCGTCAGTTAGTTACTAATTTACACCGCAAAAAGCGCGAAATTTCTGGAAATTCGGAATTTATTGTCGACGTGTCGCGCTTCTTTATTCTCCAATTCTTTTGAGAGACACGCTTTATAACGAGGTTTACCGTACACGACGGGAATTAATTCCATTCGAAGCGCTCGGAAATCGCATATGCTGTAACTATATCAGGGTTTAATTAGTGTAAAGAAAGGTATAAGGTGTGAATCGTTTAATACATGTTAATTCGGGATTAAACGCGCAACCGACGCACGTCCGAATCGTTATCTACATCAAAAATAATACGCCCGGTATATATTATTATAATATAACGCCTTAATCTAAGAATTATCGCTGTGGGCTAATAATAGGAAGTAATATATCATCACGCTGTGTAACTATTTCATATTTCTAAAGACAATGTAATAATAAATTGTGGCAAATTACCGAATCGAACTCGAAACGAGATCTGATATTGTGAATAAAGAACTGCCGGTATATTTTTTTAAATTTCTTAATTATACCCAACTATTGTTTCGAATTAATTTGAAGCTCTGCAGAGTTGACGCAATGATATTCTTAGTAAAATCACCCTGTAGAATACAAACACACATAAATACAATTCGACCAATTCTCTAAATAGAATAAAGGGTAAAAAATATATACACGCATAATCAAACTGTAACTTTTCGTTTGTAGGATAAACGACAAAAGAGGCGGTGGAAAAAAAAACAAACCCCATATAGCAGTTCCGTATGTATTTTAGCGACGGGGGGTGTCCCGGCCCCCTGGGGGCCGCCCGGGGGCTCGCACAATACTTTTCATTCAATAAACATGTTAACATGCAGATAGATTATCCAACCCTAAGCAGATTGTAGCGGAATGCTTTGAAAGAGCTCCCAGCAGTCCGAAAAATCGGCTCTCGTATTTCTCCAGGAAATCTCACACAAATTCAAAAAGGACCAAATAAAATAAGCGACCCATTCGGAACGGAAATCGTCGGATACAATGTCACCTATACCGCAACATTCGCGGCGATATTCGCATTGAAATTTATTTACCGAAGGCTGCGTATATGAAGTCATTTCGTCGTTAATAATAACGCTCGGACGGGTCTTGTAAATCTCGCGTAACGTTGGGAAAAGGACATTTGCATAAAGCTTCGCATAATTTTTCGAGTTAACTGCTTTTCTGTAGGCCGCGGCGTCAATCGGAATTAGATTTCCTGTCGTGCGTGGAGGAGAAACGGCTCTTCGGGCGTAAATGATAACGGTAACCGAACTCGTAAATAATAATCGATTGAGTCGTTTCGAAATTCGTTTGCATGAAAATCGACGGAATTTTTATTCATCCACCCATTTAACACATTTTCTTAATACTGTGATATTTTTCAATGGCAAAAAATATCACATTTCTAGTCTAGTCTATTAACAACAACATTTTTACCAAGTATTCTTAACTTCTGCAAGAATAATAAATGTACCCTCATCAGTTAGCGCTACCAATTACTTTCCCACAACACGAAGACCTCTTGTATCACCGCCGAAACGTTCACAGCAGCTTTTTCAATCGCATCAATTTGACAGCGAACTTTTGACGTAATGTTCATAATCAGAAGCATGGCTTCGCACGCCATAAATCGAGTCAGAGACGTGGTCATCGATCCCAAAGGCACCTTCAAGTACATACTGGTGAAGGTGAGCGTCCCGATGCCCGACGACAAGCTGGAGAACAAGACGATCGTCCGGGGCTTCGCCGAGTGCCCCTTTCACACGGACATCAACGCCAAAGTCGGGCTGGAATTGGAGCAATTGCGCCAGGAGAAGGCCATCCAGGACTTCGGGTGCATCGTGCTCGGCGGCGGGAAGATCGAGCACGTGCCCGAGGAGAAGACCATCAGGGTGTTCGGGTCTTCGGAGGGTTACGGGAAGGCCGATCACCGACTGACCGCTTCGATTCTCACCAAAGCTTATCCCGATTATACCGTTACGAACGAAGAGGAAACCGACGAGGGAAAATAAACCGATTTTCGTTGTGAATTTATGTTGCATATGTGTTATAATAAACGCATTCCGCGGGGAATTACATCAGAAAAAAAATGTTAGAAACGTAGGCGCGCTTGCGATTTACAACTTCAAACCGTTACAATAAATGTAAATCGTTCTAATATATCTGTAGCATAAGAATAAGAAATGACAATTGTTGTGAAAAACGAGGAAAGCAAAATTCACTAGACGTTTAGTAGTGTAAATTTATAATAAAATTACTTCCTACAACTATTTTTTTATTGTAATATTCGTAACTACGCTTGGATATTTATGCGTATTAAAGCATATGCAAATGAGTGGATGGAGTAGAAAGAAAAAATGTTAAATAGTGTTTTTTTTTGGTGAATTAACCTGGGTGTATGTTAAATCAACGGAAAGAACAACGATAATTTGACGCACAGTTTGAGAAATTATAATACAAACGATTCTAAATTCTAATTTAAGGCGTTTCGAGGAAGCTCATTTTTTTTCTTTCATTATAATTTTATGTCTCGGTTTTTATTTATTGCATTACCCAGCAATACAACAAACATAATATTAGTAGAGCGCCTAATTAATAAACAAATTCGTTACTATTTTTAGCCGCAATGTTTCCAAACCAAAATCTGTTTATGAATAGCATAGGTGAAAAAAAAAAACGGGAAATAAAAAGAAGATGTGTCCTCTATTAGAACCAACGAAAGATGTCTAGTAGATGATTAGCGTGCCGACGACAGACTTGTGGGCGAAACTAAATATCTCTAAATTAAAGAACTGCTACACCACGGAGTTAGTTCTTCATTGAAAGATATAACGCGCGTAATTTTTTGGAAAATCGTCCTTAAAACTTACCCAAACCAAGTTAATCAATGAGTCAATTACTTCAATTTCAATGCGAAATTTCGTTTTATAATTTGCTTGTTATATTGTTAGTTCTGTATGAAAAAAAAGGGGCGACAGAGGGGGTGGTTTGGTTCGTTAAAAGACGCCGACTTTCTCCTTGCATGCTGTTTGAAAAATAACACCGGCTGATGAGTTATTTTCGTACGTTTGACATCGTCCAAGCTACGTCAGTGTGATGGGCGGCTTCTCTGTTTTATTTTCAGAGGTCTGGCGTTTCCTGCACACTAATTACACGGGTTAAAGGACGATTTCAAAACGAACAAACACCGCTAGAAAATAATATGTGTATCTGCATAAATATGTAATATTACACGTGATAGAATTAACTAATATAGATACTTGAGTATTTTTTGCATAGCACAGGAAGGAATAAAAATTGAAGCATCTTCAGTTATTGCAGGATTAATATTTTTAATAGGTATCTTATTTGCATGCAAATGAATTATTTGGAGGGGATTTTCTATAAATAGTAGGCTCGTAACATAAAATTAGTAATATCATTAATCCGGAATATAAAAAATGCAAATAAACTAGAAAATGGATTAAAGTATGTAGAGCGATTAGTTATAAATTTGATCATTTTTACAGCGGCTATATGTAACTTCCCATATGTGCGATAAAGATCAACGAACAAAACAATAGCAAAAAGGAAACAATAAATACAAAATATGTTGGTACTTAAGTCGGACTTAATTCCGAAGCCTATGAATGTGCAACAAGATGTAATTACCCCATAAATCAAGCGCATGATAAGTTGTCATGTAACGTAACAGAGAAAACCGTAAAACGTATTATCATGCCTTATAAACATAAACGCGGACAAGAAAAATACACCCTACTGTGTTTCGACAATGAGGGCTACAATAACGTTCTCATAGCAATACATATATTAGTATGTCAAGCTTAATCTCGGTTACCCCATTTGTTTGGAGCCAGCGAGTGTAAAAAGTGGGTCTTTTCACTACGCCATGCAAGTCGAGTACCGAAAACTTTTATATTATACGCTCAAAAACGTTGTTTATTTTTTTCAATGACCCGAACTTATATTCGCAGAACAGTCTGAGGTTTAAAATTTCATTCATAAATTTCTACATGTATGGTTTACGCATGAACGATTCGAAAGATTTTTATCAGGAATTTTAACTATAACGGTCGTTACTGTACGAGCTTATACTACATATAAAATTTTAGTCGATGATAAATGAAGCTATAATTTGTTTATCCTTTATTAATTGTTGCAGGTTATTTAGCATGAAGAGCTGCGCTCGGTGTCACGTGACGATTCTATCATCGGAACTAGTGATGCGCGCCAAAGAGTTCGTCTTCCACGTGCATTGTTTCTCTTGTGAAGTGTGCAACGCCATATTGACGAAAGGTGATCAATTCGGCATGAGGAACGGTTCGGTGTTGTGCCGCGTCCATTTCGAACTCTCCGTGTCCGAATCGATTCCGCACGGCGGCGGCGTCGGCGGCGGCGGTCTCTTCCACCCGCAGCACCACCCCCACTATCCGCCGCCGTTTCCCAGTCCGGATTTCCACCACCATCCGTCCATGCCGCCGCAGCCGGCCGGCGGCGGCGGCGATCACATCGGTAAAGTTCCTCCCTTCTTCAACGGCGCCCCCACGACGCCGCGACAGAAGGGCAGACCGCGCAAAAGGAAGCCCAAGGACTTGGAAGGGATGACCGCTAATCTCGGTAAGACAAATTTGTGTTTATTGGACGCGGTTCCTGCGGTCCAATCTCGTTTGTATAACTTATAGCCTTTATTTCCCCAAAAGATTTTATACCCTTCGAAAACCGCTAAGATAAATTATTATACAAATATTTCTAGGTAACAACTTCCACTTTCTAGTTTTTGAATCATATAGACTTCATTTAGAACCATTAAACTCCATTCCACAACCTACTAAACCGCTATATTCAAAATGATTTGTAACAAAGAATCGTATAAATGTGAGAAAAGATTTTTATTATTCCCGAAACAGCTCGACGGCGCGGCTGTTCTATAAAATTGTAGCTTCCATCTGAAAAAAAGGTTTTTATTGAAGTTCGTACATCGTAAAAAATCGTTGGTGACCGTCCAATAAAATCCGTGAATGTGGGATCTTTAATCAATGCAGTGACGGAACGAGAAAAACATTTAATAGTGGATATCGATGGCAATAAATCGTCCATTTTAGATTGATTATTTCATAACGAGGTTCGAGATTTCTCTCTAGTTTTTGTCTACATTCTATCATAACATCGCGTTAATTAATAATATTAATGTAGGTAGATAATAAAACAATTTCGCTAGTCACTTTGCTTGCTAAAGAAAATTAACAAGTTAAACTTTCACACAACTTTTAACAACGTTAATAAAAGTGGGGGGCTATTAGAGGTACAAATTAAAAATCATAAACTACTCCTATGGGTTCATAATAGTTTTATTTTACAACGTCAATAACCATATAGTGATAATAATGCGAAATAATACAGTAAACAAGCACAAAAGCAACCGCTCACAAGAGGCTGTATATTAGTGCATTGTATAGTATATAGGGCCCTTTTCATCGACTGAGGGGTAACGTCGAAGAAAAAAAGGGTTTCTGGTCAAAGTTTTCCCACAACGCGTGGCATTTCAAGGGTGACTAAACAGATGGATATACGCAGATAATGACTGCAGATACTTATCGAATCAGAATGTTATGATTTCGAAACGTGCAATTAGGTAGGTTGAATATTGTGGGAACTGATTAAGGTATTAAAGCGATAAGTTATGTTCACATCGCGTATTTATATGAGAATGTCTAGATCGCTTCCGCGAATGATGGCCGATCTCCAACGGCTTTATTACCGGCGAGAGCTCGTTTGCATATACCATTTTCGTCGGAAACTCATGTATCAATTCGTTAATATTTTAAATAATAAGAAAATATATCCGACTGTTGAAAAAAAAAACGCTGAAAAAAAACGTTGAAAAATCAACCTCGTCCAGCTCCTTCTACGGCATCCGGTAACCCGTCGTAGAATTCTTCGGTAATCTGTCGTTTGCAAGTCATCCTCGTGCATGCAATGCCATTACGCATTACTGTTTTGATGGATTTCTCGAATTCCGACGGATTTTTTTTCGCGAATACACCGATAAAGCCTTCGGCTGAATTCGCAGTCAATCAATCAGCCGACCAACGACGGCCGCCGCTTTATTTTCCGCGATTCAGGCGATAATTTCGAGTCTAACAAACGACGCCGTACGCAAACATTTGCGAATCCGGCTTAGCGCAAATTAACCGGAAAGAGACGGGCGTAATCCGGTCCGACGCCGGCGTCGGTATACAGCGTCGGCCCGCCACGATCCCAAAATTTACATTACAAAATTCTACAATGAAATTCTACTACATTTTAAACCGAAAAATAGTTCTTAAAAACGGTTCTGGACTTTGCTAGTTTATCCTGAACCATTCCAAATTGTACTGGTTCTGTACTAAATGATTTTGAGCAGTTCAAAATGTTTCTTATGAGTATCCAGATATATAAAATGGTCTTAGATATTTCTATAAGATTATGAACACTTCTAAACGGTTTTGAACCGTTTAAGATGGTCCTAGAGTGGTTCAAAACGAATCAGGACAGTTCTAAACGGTTTTAAACAGTTCTAGATGCTTTTGAACAATTCCAAAACTATCCTAAACAAATTGAGGACTTTAATAATCATGCAAAATGCCTATTTCTTGCACTAGTATAATTCCTGTAACGATATCGTGGCGGACCGACCGGGTATATTCATCATTCATCCGGGACGGGCGTCCATCGGCTTAGCGAAAGCGGATTGCATCGCCCTCTGGCGGCCGTACGGGCTCTCATTTTTCGCGGAGCTGCCGCTGCTCCGGAGCCCTGTCATGCGGCACAATTAATTCGCCGTCAATCCGATCAAAGCTTGTTCAAACGGCTAATCCGTGTTTATGTCACCGTGCCACGCACAGACGGACTTTCCAATTGCGTTTCGCGTTTAATTAGACGTTCGGTAACGACGAGAGAGGTCGTATGCAAGGAGATTAAAACCCGCGCGACGAAAACATTTGCCCGTTAATTTCTAATTCGAATCTTCGGATTGGTATTAACAGTGATAAAAACACGTGTATGTAAAACGCGCGATAAATCAGATAAAAAATAAAAGGTGCGTGTGTATTCTTCTGAAAAGGCATAAATTCTGGGGGAAAAATACGAAACGACACACTTTATATTACCCGGACGTTAAGTACATAAACACAAAGATCTCAATCCCCCGAAATCTCTTTATCTTTTTCGAAAAAGAAAAAGAAATAAAACCAACAGACCGCCTTTTATACCTGAAGTCCGTACCTGTCGTAAAACGTAATTTATGGTTATGGGTGTGTATGTCATCGAGTGTCGATATAGGAGCCGATGCGGCGGTCAATAATGCATAGTATATAGAGACAGCTCGATCCTCTATATAGTTGGCCCATGTCAATTAATGGGCGAATACAGGATCGTACCCAACCGACGATTAAATTCACTAACATCCGCTCAATAACACCCTTAAAACGATCGATCGAAAATTACGCTTCGCAATCAATCAGTCCATCGGCTACTCTTGCAACTTTACAGGTTATTAAAGGGAAAATGTATTGCGTTGGAAGTGGAATTGGGTGATTACGGTCCTGCGCTAAATTCGCCCCGACAGGTGAATATTTATTCCGATACATTCATGAAGCGGTAGATGTAAAAAATGCGACCGGATTTCTGTTCGACTGTCATGTACGGGGTCCTTTCGGAATCTAACCCAATTAAAGGCTGCTGAATGTAAATTGATGTCTAATTCTTGGTTTCGTACAAAAAAGGGCTACTGCTTTGTTTAAATTTTTCTGTGTTATGTATTTTAGAGGCTATATCTAACATCTAAATCTAACACTTATATGATAACGCGGTACCTATACCCAAGGAGTAATTAAGTAATTTTGAAATTAAGTAATTAGGTGTACGTTCCAAATGAAATTGGATACAATTTTTATACAAACATACAAAAAATGCACGTAATTCTTAGATTAGATTATTCTAGATATTAACTCAATAAAAAAGCGGAAAATTGGTAAAAACTCTGTAACATTGAACAAACAAAATATACACAAAATGTAAATGTTTCTATTGTTTATTCAATTTTTTTGTGTTACATATCTATAAATATGCATAAGAATACGCATGTGTACATATATTAGTAATTAAAATGCGCCCGTAACGCGATATAAATTTTATTCAAATTTTTTTAGAGCGTTTTGGCATGAAACACGAAATTTTTAATAGCCCGAATGGATAACAAACACATTTTTTTTCGTCCGAAAATTAATTATATTAAAGAGGTTATTAATTGGAATTATATTGCAAATTAGATAAGAATTCGATCGAATATTTTTACAACGAACCGTTTGTATAACATTCGGCGCAAACTAGATTAATACAAATTAACATAATTATCGCGGAATTAGAATATTCGAATATTTTCGATTCGAACAGAAAGGTTATCGCAAACGAAGCGACCTCTCTCATGGAAGTATATGTACTTCTATTATAATTTTCATTATTTTCATTCGCAGATCTGAACTCCGATTACTTGGACATGCCGTTCGGCCGGTCGCCGGGCACGCCGGGCCTGCACGGATCGAATCAAAGGACGAAAAGGATGAGGACGTCGTTCAAGCACCATCAACTCAGAACGATGAAATCCTACTTCGCCATCAACCACAATCCGGACGCTAAGGATCTGAAGCAACTTTCCCAGAAGACCGGATTACCCAAGAGGGTGCTACAGGTAAATAAATCTAGTAAATAAAATCACCAATCAATGAATCGATCGGCTAATCTAGGAGCTTTATTATATACAGAGGGACTTAATAAAATCTCTGCGTAATTTCGTTATGTTCGAATCGATTCGAATACGCAACACTTACGGGCAAAAAGAGCGGACGAATGGATGAATTGATGGAGAAAACTGGTCCTATTAAAATCGTTTTTCCAACGCTCGCTTAGCTGGGATCGTTTGTTTTTAAGCCATTTCAATTAATTCGATTCGATTTATCGATTTAGAGAAAACGAGATTTTTAACTGTATTCAATACTATTAATACCGCGTTGAAGTCACCAAATCTGATACAAAAAATAAAGTGTTTTAAACCGCTATTAAGTAGCGTTATTAGGATTTATCCCGCTAAATTAACCACTTTAAATACCGGGATAATTTCCAGTCGATAAACTGATAAGAGCTTTTCACAAAGGGAACTTTGAAAAAAATTAAGTAATTTCGATAGAAAGATAAACAAGGCAATGTTATCTATTTCGATAATAACAGTAATTCCATCGATTTATGAGGTCGAACGGGCCTCGCGAATCGCCCATTAGAAGTATTTTATATTCAAATCTTCCTCGATTTCGTCGAAGATAAACAGACCAAAGACGTAATGCCCATTATTTAATTTCTGTTTAGCAATCTTCAAGTTCACGTTTAATAAATATAATACAGAAACAAGCTCATAATGCACTTACAATCGTTTTCCGAACGCGTACATAATCATTATACTTTTCCCTCGGTATATTTTACACGTAGTTTATTCGAAATTACACCGTGGAGAAAATATGTAGCAATTTCAACGTAATGCCTAGTTTAACTTTAAACGGACAGCCTTCGATATTCTATTAAAGCCTCGAACGGGGCAATTAAAAATATCGCATAGTTGTAAATAAATCGTTCGAACTGCGGAGCGCCCCCGGGGGGCCGAAAATAAAGTCGCTGAGGCAACGGGAATTTTTCCCCGACTTGCAGTCTCGGCGTTTTTCTTGTTCCCTCGCTGCTTACTCTTCCCGGCCCGTTTTTCCTCCGGGTTGATAAACAATCCGCGCGCCCCCAAACCGGCCCTATTAAAATCTTTCACTCTGTTTGAGGTTGTTTGTCGGGAGTTCTCGTTAAAAGAGAAGCAGCCCGTTACCCGGAGGGCCGCGAGCTTTCGGTGATTTGTTACCCGCTGTAACTCTAATACTGGAAATATATTAAGTTACTTATTAAAAAAAAAATCGCGCTTTTTTTTTAGTAACTTCGGTGCTTTGTGCTGGGTTAAATCTAAAATAGAACAAAAGCTAATTAAGCCGGTAAAAATCGTAATTTCCCGTATATTGTAAAACGGGGAACTAATCAGGACCGGGAGATGTTACGCAAACGGAGATTGTTAGCGCAGATTCGAGCTGGAAAAACTCGGAAATAATATATCAAGCGAGATGCGGCCGAACGGTACATTTATTCAGACAAACGCGGCATTTATCAACCGAGTTTATTTCTGGAGTTCTAATCTGCTCTTTTGCTCTTTTCATCTCGCGTATATTTGATTAATTCGAAGGACGCCGCACGGGAACACGGGCTCGGACACCAGATAATCTCGGCCTTATGTTCGAACATTAGTTACAATTAGACCATTTCTCATTCACATCAAAAATAATTAGATTTTTCTAATAAAATTTCTAGTGTTACTGCAATTTATAAGAATCATACTACCCACCTATCTCCAATTAAGAAATGTAAATTTAAAATTTTAGTAGATATATCTACCTGTACAGGTATATAGAAAAACACAAATCATCTCTTAGGAGATGCAGTAATCGATTATATTAACAACTGTTATACCAACACAAACAAAACTAATAACGCAACATGTTAGAATAAATAATTCAATAAATAAAAAATGATTAGATAGCGACTGTACACAGAGAGACCGCGGAGCCGCGTTTGTATAAAAGATTAGCCGGTTCTCGAAATAAACCTCTCGCATTGATAAATGCTCCGTTTGTCTAAATAAATGTACCGTTCGGCCGCATCTCGCTTGATATATTATTTCCGAGAGGGTTGTTTTTTACGTCGATCAATCTTAACAGCATGTTTTTGTAATAAACGTACATTTAATTCGAGCACGTGAGGCCGAACCGGCCTCGTCGTTCTCCGGATCGAAACGCCGGGATAATTTCTGGAAGAGGTGAATTTAACTGGAAGCGCTAATTGGCGACGATCTCCCCTTTGCATTTCCGCCACGACGGGCGCGCTATTTAATTACACACATCGTGATGTGATCTTTAAATGAATCAAAAAATCACAGCGAACATTTTTCTTAGTGTAACCGCGATATATCGTTTCTACGCTAAGAAAAAATGTTTGTTAATAAGCTGTAAGTTTGTAGAAAAGCTCTACCGCCCACGAACCTGGAAATCGAATAAATCACGAAAGTAAAGAGGGAGAAAAAGAATTCCCCACCCGCTTAGGGCTCTCCAATTACTAGGGAAAAATCGGTGGCGTCTTTATGATGCTGCGACCCTCCCGGAATCGCGTCTCCGGGGACTTCGGACCCTCTTCATTCGAAAATCCGCGTTTCTATTGGCGACGCCATTTTATTCGCGAGACATTTTTATCGACGCATAAATCTATACCGGATGGATTCTAAATATTCTAAAAATTGTAGGTACTAACTCAAGTTATTTTGCGGGGTGGAAATTATATATGCGGGTATTTAATAATTTATAGATAATTGTTTTGGTTTGTTTTTGCGGCGGTATTGGTTCGAGCGGAGTTTTCTCACAGTAGAAATGGTCGCGAAGTGGCGAAAGATCGGTAGTCGAAGAAGGAGGTTGAGTTTTTGCGCGTCGTCGGCCATTCTTGAAGCGCTAAAGCTAACAAATGATAATGGGTAGTTTAGAATTCTCGGACAAGTCGCGGCGCAGCCGAAGAAGAAGCCGAGCCGGTATCTTTCTTTCGATACTATTATCGCCACATTGACTTTATTGTTATTAATAGTGGCGGCCTTATTAGGAAGAAAATGGCCTCGTTCTTAGGCGTTTTAGTCACCTGATTAGTACCGCGAGTCCGATGATCTGCTCATACAAGTTTCATTAAGCCGGCGGCATCGCTTCTCGTGTGTGTCGGCCGTTCTGTGAATAATAAAATTTAACATTTCCGTTTTACGACAATCGCTTTCTGATATATTATGCAACGATTTTTACCTACAGTTGGTGCAAAACTCGTTATATTTGCGATGCATTGTGCCTAACTTTTGAAAATAAATACACAAAATAGATTAAGCTTAATACCTGCGGAATTTAATTTAATATTAACAAGGGAAGTTATAGGTGACATGCATTGATATTTGTTTTGCACCAACTGTACGCGAAAATAATTCCGTAAATTAGCATCCGTGTTGTTATTTTGTATTAAATTTGGCCGCTCTCCTTAACGATTCACCTGCCGACGCGCTCTTCTATTTTCCCCGAGGAACTCACAAAGACGCCGCAGCGCCGACGCCCGTCCGTCCATCAAACCTCATCCGCATCAATTCGCGACAACGTTGATAAAATTCGCAGTTGTCCCGTCTAATCTTCCTCAAAAAAAAAAACACCCAAAGCTCGACTCCGAGCCAACCCGTTCGGGGCAATTAACTCCCGTTTCGAAATTCCCAACGACAAACAACACACCGGCCATCTTGTCCTTCTGTTCGGCGCCGATCGATCGCGCAAAGAAACACGGCCGAAGACGGTCTCCATGGCGATATCGCACGTCTCTCCACGCTCGATCTTCGCCCCCTATCACCACCATTCCATTTTAAAATCCCTTTCTACAGATGCACCTCCTTTTATACTCTCTTTTATTTGCGATATACGCAACCGTCCCTAGAGGAGAGTATTTCCGCAAATTAAGCATTCCGGTTGATTGCAGGTGTGGTTCCAGAACGCGAGGGCGAAGTGGCGCCGGATGATGCTGAAGCAGGAGGGCAAATCGGGTGGCGAGAAGTGCTCGAGCGCCGACAGCGTGACGGACATGGACCTGTACCCGCACGGGCCGGGTTCCATCGGCAGCACCATATCCATGAACCCGCACAGCCCGGCGTTCATGATGCCCTCGGGCAGCCCGTCGTCGCTGGACTGCTCGTGAGGGAGGCCGCTCTACGTCGGCGGATTCATGTTGTAAAGTAATTTATTTATTGTATGTGCGAATCGGGTTGAAATCGGCGGCGGTTTTGTTTCTAACGATTAGTTCCTATGCGGCGAATTAAAATTTGTAGTTGAATTGTAGTTGAATAATTAGTGGTTTATACACAAACTGCCGGTTCTCTAATGTTAAATTCTGTCGACAATAAAGTATTAGAAACAAAAGTCGTTTTGTAAGAGTAAATTTGATGAAGTATTATGTTAATGAGACATTTCAATATATTTTTTTTTACATCACACGATTCTTTAGTACCTTACGATATTTTTATATTGTTATTCGTTTTAATCATAGCAAGAATATACGTTCCTAGATTTTTTTTATATTTGCACGAATTATTATTTAACTGATTTTAATTTAGTAATAAAATAATTGTTTTTTTCTTTCGTATGTTGTGATATTGCTAAAATAAACTCCAAAGTTTTAATGAGCATTGTAAATTGAATTTACTAAATAATTCGTATAATCGTAAGAAACGTTAAGGGAAATAATTGAGAATTATTTACCTAAATCTAGTATTATACACAGAAAATCTTTTATTAGATACTTCAAAAATGGACTTTAAATAGTCTTCCATGACTTTGATTATTTCAACGTTCTTGCCAATGAATGATTAGGTTTTTTTTGTACATAAACATACTCTGTATATTTTTACGATTAGTGCTACCTGTAAATTTATTGTAAATAATGGTGGTAGCGCCTTCCTATTAATATATTAATAAAGTATTTCACATTACTATTGACATCTTATTTCCTATTCCTAACAAATCAGAATAAAAAGCAAGAAGAAGAAGAAGAAAAAAAACAAAGCGCGCACACCGCAGATAGCAATTTCCATAATTCAGAGAGCCCGTGCAGCAGGAGCAGCAGCAAACCAGCAGCATCGGTCGCCGTCTTCGGCATTCGACCGTTCTTCATTCTTTTCTTCGGCGACGCTCTCTCCGCTATTGATAAATTCTTATTTCTTCTGAACGCCGAACCGATAAATAAGAGAACGCCGAACTGGATATACCGGCATGGTGATGCGTACCACCATTGTTCATTTCATATTAACGCGACGATCTCGTTTCTACAATTATGGTAGGTTGTTTTCGATGCCCGAAAAAAAAAAACACCCATTTAAAAGCTGTTACTTCTTATACCGGTCGTACCGATAAAATTAATACTCGCGCAATTTCAATTAAACTCCATACGCATTTATCGACGATTGAGTTAGCAGAAATAAATCATCGACTGCACGAATTATTTTGACTAATGGTTTCGCGAGCGACAACTCGAACAAACAAAATTAATCTTGCTTTTTTACGCCGGCCGGTTCCTTTTCCACCCATGGGAAATGCACCGGCGCGTTTATACATGCTCATGTGGCGGACACATGTAGGTACTCTTCGACATGTGTTCGTGGTGTTTCGAAGAAGCTTTGATTGATGACAAGAGGGTGACCCGTGGCTAACGCGAACGGCAATTTAATACGCTAATTACGGATTAACGTTTCAACGTTTCAAGAAAAAAAAATCCCATCATTTTAATGTGTTAGATAACCTACTGGGACTTGAAGATGAACTCTTCTAGGAGATTTCTGGATGTTTGTAGTTGATGTTGGTCCGTTCCGAATACTCCTGAATCGGTTCTAAACGATTCCGAGCCGGTTCGAAGGTACTCGAAGGCCGTTTTAATTGATAACCTCGAGGGTCCGGATGCAGAGCGAAAGGCGCCAGCGCGGCTGCACGCTGAATTAGATGCACTGTCGCAGTGATTTTTTTTTCTCTCCCCCCATCTCCTATGATATACTGCCGGCAGACATGCACGGTCGTATTTCTTTTTTCGGTTTAATTTCGGTCAAAATAACGAGCGACTCGCGTTGCGTTCGCTACACGCTCGATGATTAATTTTTAACAAAGTGTGAAGACCAAAGGCACCGAAGTCCCGGCCACCTTCTTTGTCAATTTCGGTCCGTACATCGCGCGACAGAAATGTTCAATCAATCGGCTACTCTTGCTGTATTACTGTTAATCAACTTCAAGGAATAAGGAAACGATAATTCTGTACTTGAACCTTTTAATCATTATAGTTAATTAATTCGAATAATTAATAAATCATCGACTGAATATATTATCTACGGAGCGTATTTTCCATTCGTCTTCGAATGAATATTCAAAAGCGACCTGTCGTCGAGTATGCGACGTGAAGTAGGAGCTAATTCCAAAGTAAACAGGATTAACTTTTATGCATTCGTACTGAACTTCCCCGTGTTTATTTTAAAGATTTATATAAGCTCCATTCTTTACCGTCACTTTAATGTTTATTCAATGTATTCCGTTTAACTCTTGCATATCCATTGGTAAATATATGAAACAAGCAATTTCTAATTAATATTACTTAAAAACGCCGAGGAAATTTTTGTTAATGCCGAGTTAATGAGTATAATTCGAATGGAAATGTGGATGATAAATCCAACGAAAAAGACAAATCATCTTAGCCGGATTATTATTTCCACGATGGTTCGGAATCAACCAAGGGAAACACTTCCATCTAATACATTTTTATCAAGATTCGTTAACGCAAGCCGCAAACGTAAAGGTAACGGTAACGACGCGTGAGAGCACCGTTCTCGAGAGAAACTCCATAAATACATCGGCCGGTGTATTGTCGAAGGGGCTCATGTAACATGCAACTCGAGTTCCTCCAAGTATTATGCTTATTCTGTCTCGGCTCTTGGAGGAATGCATATTATGAATTATGTAATGGGTTTATAAGTAGCGAGGGATTTCTTTTTTTCATGAAAATTATTCCTCGTGTATTTAACACCAAGGTATGTGTTTCAACGTTCAACTGATGTAATCCAACGATTTATTCGCGGCGAGATAAAGGATAAAAAATGATACTAAAAAAAACGTGTTTCCGTTGTTTCGTATGAATTATTTTATTATGTTAAAAGGTTTACGAGGACATGTAATTAAAACGTTTTTTTTTATTCGCTACCTAGGTTATATAGTTGAGATAATTAGTTTTTTTAAGAGAAAAGATGCTGGTTAAATAATAAACATGAAACATTGTCACGATTAATTCCTTAACGTACTCGAATTCCGAGGATTTTTTATCCTCTAATAACTGTGAAATTTTAATAGAATATACGGGTCATTCGAAAAACTCCGCACCAGCTGGCCGACTACAAAAGGGTGGGAATCATCCTTATCTCGACATCTCAAATAAATAAATCGACAATTTTTTTATAGCGGATTTTTTAACCCTCTAATTAACTTCATTAGCCGCATTTATCCGAAAACCCTTCCCGTCCATTCGAATCCATCTGCCAAAGGACCGAGCATACGACAATAAACATTAATTATCCAAATACCACGTGAAATTACCGCGACACCGCATCAACCCTTAAACTTCTCCCGAAATTTATTACCACTTAAGCCCAAAAAAATGTCGTCAATTGCGTTAATCAACCCCTTCAGTGATTCAGTGTTCTTGTCACAGAGATGCTATCTCTATTAAAACCCTTATTGTTTACACTGAAAAAAAAAATGTTTAGCGAAGGGGTGAGCGAGAATACGGTGCAAAATGACTAAAGCTCCGCTTAAAAAAACGAGTATAAAGTTTCTATTTGTTGTATAGAGAAACCCCGTTTAAGAAATCATTTTTTAGAGTGTACAATCAAAGTACAAGCCGCTAACAACGTATCGCTCATTGATTTCCGACACAATGCCGGGTTAATATCGCAGCGTCACACTTGATTACGTCGACAACCGTGAAAAACCAGTAACGGGAACGCTTTTACGGGGGATTATCAGGGGCTCGCGATGATCCGAGGGGGTCGGGATTGCACCAACTGCGACCGAGCATATGCTGCTTATTAAGGGTCAAGTCAAGAGTTATATCAGCAGTTGAATCTTGTTTGTTATAAGACTAGGAGGAAACGAGCGAATGGATTTATGCGATCGTTAATTTATTTAATAAGGGTGGAAAGTGGAAAGGAATTTTATTTGGTTTCGAACGACGCCACCGATTGATTCGAAGCGAAAACGGAAAACGCGGACGCGAATCGCATGCGATATGAGGCGGTTTTCTTCGAGATAATGGCGGTCGAAGGCAGGTGGTCTTTTACCCATCGGTTGTACAGCCAACGCGATATATATATACCATATCTGATCGGTATGTATAAGTAGGCGCTCCCGTGTTTCGCAATACATATGACATATAAATATGCGAGCGCGACGAGTTTATGAAACTTTTATAACTTATTTTTCCAGTTGTCGAGTTGTAAACATTTTATGGTCAATCAGGAAACAGTTCAGGACGATCTTAGAACCAATTAAAACGCATTCAGGACTGTTTCGAGCTGTTTTTTTGAACTTTTAAAAGTGTTATAGGCCCACCCGGTATAACAAAAAAAAAACCCTTAAAATAGCTGCATAGCAGACTCGTAAAGCAAAAAGGAACACACAGATGCGACATTTTGAAACAAAAGACATTTTCTCACATAAAACCCGCCGAGCTTTCATTCATATATCAAAATGTAAATTCGTCTGGTAGCGAATAAGAACTCTTTACCGACCCGCCATTTGTTCTCGAATTCGATAATTTATAAGTATCCGAAAACAAAGCTAGATCGGCTTTACGAATTCGGAAAACAAGTCAATGCAAACGAAATTTATGGCAATCGTTACACAATAGCGTTATAGTACGAGCAAAAAGCGAGCAAATAACTTACAGAGGTGGGTAGGTAGAATTTCGAGAAAAAATAAGTAGAAAAAAAATCGTGGCTATGGCCGATCAATGGGGAATACTCGGTTTATCTGTGTCAACTCATTAGGTGCATCGCGCAGTTGACTAATTGCAACTAATTCCCGACTGTCGAAGCCGCGCGCTTTTTCTCGTGCGCCTTTTTTTCCGCTCGTTTCGCCGTTGAAAAAAGGGCCGATCGGCGGAAAAAGGAA